TTCAACAGAAGTGTTACACTACTTGGGAGTGTGTATCGGTCGACCAGCATTCAGTCTACCACTGTTCCCCCCTGAGGCCTACTTCTAGTAACTTTATAGTAAGTGGAAGAGTCCACTATAGCCTCATTGGAGGGAGGACACCATAACAATATATTTACATATTCTTTTAAAGTGTCAATTTAAAAACATTATTAAAATATATTACAAAAAATGAGATGACAATCCTTTCTTGCGGTCTAAGGAAGTTTTAAAATTTTTCGGGTATCTGCTTTATTGGATCTGCTATTATTTCTAGAATATCCAACTAGGTTTTGACCAAATTTAAACTAAATCTTCCGGAGAAGTGTTTTATAATTATTTAATTCTGTGTTAAAAATTCATTTCAGTAGATTGGCTAGATCATGTTCATTTCAGCAGATCCTGAAAGTCGATTAATAACTTTTTGTAACTCTCTTCCCATCTATCCCATTGTATTTCCCTGCTGTCTGTGAATTACTGGATGAAGTGGCTTTCTCTTGGCTGCTCTGCTATCATATTGTCATATTTTGAAAATACGGCGGAGTAATGGATAGCGGCTTGGATTGAGAAATCGAAGAGTCGAGTTCGAATTCCAGTCGAATCCATTACATTCATTTATGTGCTAATACCCTTGGGAAAGATATGAATCTTCTTCTCCCACCCGCTGTGGGTAAATAGCAGGACAGACCGGGTTCTGCAACCTTACCGCTGTAAAAAAATTGTCTCGTTAGTCATGTATCGAAAGATACATGATCGACTAAGCGTGTATCACGCATGGTACATAACTGGCTGATACTCCTTTCTGTTTCCAATGAGGATTGGCGTATGAAGTGGCTTTCTAAAGGCTACTCTGCTTTTACAAGAAGTCGTATTTGGAAGAAAGCAACTGCTTTCCATGCTAAATGGCGAAGTGGCTTTCTTCTGGCTGCTCTACTATTATATGTCAATATTTGAAAGATAGTTGCTTTTCTTACTGAATGATGATCGGTTTAAGAAGTGGCTTTCTTCTGGCTGCTCTACTATTATAAATAAATATTTGAAAGATACCTGTTGCTTTTCTTGCTGAATAGTAACCACTTTAAGAATTAGCTTTCTTCTGGCTGCTCTACGATTATAAGTCAATATTTGGAAGATGCCTGTTGCTTTTCATGCTGGATGATGATCAGTTTAAGAAGTGGCTTTCTACTGGCTGCTCTACTATTATAAGTCAATATTTGAAAGATACTTTTTTCTTTTCTTGCTGAATGATGCTTGGTTTAAGAATTGACTTTCTTCTGGCTACTCTATTATAATAAATATTATTATTGCAAAAAATGTTTAATTTTCTTTCATTACCCTCCTCCCGACCCTCAGTCATGCACAATCTTTAAAGTAGCAGGGCAAATCGAATATTGATCATTGCTGATATATATGGATTGTAACTGTTCGATCCTCACATTTAAGACTTGACAGACGATGAAAACGTTGCGGGTGATGAATTATTTCCCAGCCAGGTCCCAAGAGAAGAAATGTTGCTAGAGTCAAGCTACTTCTATTTTCATGACACGTGTTCAGACGAGATACATCCCTGACTGCAACGGGTTCAGACCTTCACAGCTTGGAACCGTACGCATGGACATACACGTAAATACACTCTTCCTCATTTCTTTCGTATTCCATTGGTAAGGAGGAAGTTCCCTGAAGGCAGCTTCATACACAGAACTGTTATATTGTGGAATGTACAACTGAAAAGATGCTTCTCCATTCACTACAAACATATCCAGACAACCGTTATCTATCCTGCATATCTTCATAGTATGCACCTCTTGACCTTTGCAGTATTTGAACAATAATCTATCTATCTATCTATCTATCTATCTATCTATCTATCTATCTATCTATCTATCTATCTATCTATCCCAACCTCTTTACTATCTATCTATCTATCTATCTATCTATCTATCTATCTATCTATCTATCTATCTATCTATCTATCTTATGGGCGCCTGGCCGAGTGGTTACAACATTCGTTTTCTGATCATGAGACCCGGGTTCGAATTTCACCATGGTTGGTTTGTCAGGAAGGAGACTTCATGATATCATCGGCCTGGACGTGTGACACCTTTGGAAAGTGCCTGAAAACGGTTTGACCCAAGCCTTGTGAATGAAATTGGGTAGACGAAACAGTTGATAGCTGTGCTAGCACGAAGTCATAAGTCATCGTGACCGAGGGTTTGAATATCTATCTATCTATCTAATTATTAGTTTGTGTACATCTATCTATCTATCTATCTATCTATCTATCTATCTAATTATTAGTTTGTGTGCGTCTATCTATCTATCTATCTATCTATCTATTAGTTTGTGTACGTCTATCTATCTATCTATCTATTATGAATGGTTAACATGTAAGTCCTGGTAAATGTAGTTCTTCTGTTGTTTTTTTTTCTGTCTTCGTATTAAAATCTTAGCACATTGCAATCTTCCTAATCCTTGACTGTCTTTTATTTTTCTTTCATATATATCACATCGGCGTTTAAAGCGATTTCAAATTTCGAACCGTTATCCATTACACCACCCGCACTTCCAAGCACCTGGGATTCCTAAGCGGTCATTCATTTAGGTAATGACCAGAATCGACGTTGCTTAACGTCCGTATATTACAATCAGGGGTTTAAATGTTATGGCTGACAGTGATGCTCTAGCGTTCATCAGAACGTAAACAGATATCCATTATGGAATTTTTTCGTTTATGTTTGAATATTATAGTCGAGCGTTAAAGCGTGAAAAGTGTTTAGTGACTGATAAACATCTCCGAAAAATCCGCTTAGAAGAACTACATAAAACTCTCAAGAAACGAGGCTACTCCACAACACTAATAAACAAAGGTATTGAACTCGCGAAAGAAATTCCTCTAGACCAACTTATAAATAAAAAGAAACGTAACGTCGAACAAACTCTAGCATATGTCTCAACGTACAACAAAAACAATCCAGAAATATTCCCAGAAATCACAAAAAAATCTAGATTTACTTAGCAAGAATAATAAACTGAATAATATACTAAAACAACCAAAATAATTAAGAGCAAACGCCAATCTAGAAACCTAAAAACACATATTAACCTCATCTAAATTTAACCAACACAAAATACAGGAGTCACAAAATGCAACAAAAAATATATATATATATATATATATATATATATATATATATATATATATATATATATATATATATATATATATATATATATATATATATATATATATATATATATATATATATATTTACTGTTTTAAACTGCAATTCGACCATGTTAACCAGAAACGCTGTTCTGTGGCTCAATCGGTAAAGCACGTCTTGCTATATGACGGATCCGTATAGCATCCAGTTTCGATTCCTGTCTGAGGACGCATATTTTCTATGAAGATTTCTCGGACATTCAGGCCAGTAAATGTGGTTAATATGTTTATTATAAACAGAGCATTTACTTAAATATTTGTATCTATAAAAGAACGTATAAACATAAAAAATGTCTTAAAAATAATTGTCGGGCTTTGTCCATTTCATAATATATATATATATATATATATATATATATATATATATATATATATATATGCCATACTACATATTTGACAGGAAGAATTACTCAGCACTTTCCTGCCCATAGCTCAGTTAGATCTCGTTTAAATATACATGGAGACCTACCGGACATTATTCGGAACATACTTGTCGACAACACTAATATAATAGCATCATCTACATGCAAAGAAAAAAGGCTAAAAATAATGGAAGCATTGTTAATAAAAACAAAAAACCAACACTCAATAATATCAAATATGAACATGGACAAAATATCTTGACTGTGTTTTGGAAAACGAAAACATTTAATAAAACATATATGCAACAAACTATTTCTTAGTTAACAGTTAAAATATTTCAACCTTGAAAATGGCTAAATATGTCGCCGGAAGCGCTCGCGTAAAAAGAACATTTGGACAGTTTTTATATAATTTATCACCTGAAAAGAAAAAAAATATTAGATCACATGAGAAATTGTATAAAAAAACTAAATAAAAGCACTTTGTCTGTCTTATGCAATGAAATGTGCATGAAAGAAGGATTGCTGCCTAAATACACACACACACACACACACACACACATATATATATATATATATATATATATATACACGTGTGTCAACGTGTGTCCGTAAGCCATCCACTTGTATTACGACATACATACTTCCCATACCAATTGCAGATAGTATATTTGTATGCTTGTAAAATGCGTAATACCGACTTGTATTATGGAGATTCTGACACACTTATACACAAAGCCAGGAGATTTCAGTTCCCTATTAAAATAGCGATCAGCATTTATGAAGCTTGTACCATAGAGAGAAAATACACGATCATTTACTTTACTTTCCGTTTTCTCAAAAAGAATGTGGAGAAAAAATACCCGAAAAAAAAAAGACTATAATGAACCCTCCCACCAAAAAAACAAAAGCTCTCCAATTTTCAAGAATTCTAAAATCTATTCGTAACCGTTGGCCAATTCTACTTAAAACAGGAGCCCCCTGCCGTTTTAAAGACGACGCCGAAGATGCTAACATGATGTGGAGACAAATGAAACCACAAAACGCTCGGTGGTGTCGATTGAAAATTCTCCGCTGCCGCGTACAACCTGAATAATGAGGCAAACGTGATACCCCAACAATGGCGACGGGAACGGGCGAGATCTCGCGAGATGTGACGTATCTTGTGAAGATTGACATCGCGCGGCTTGAGATTTCATTTTTTGTTTTTAAATAATCTGTTCACCGGAACCTGTCTACAAAATACAATAACAAATAAATTAAAAAAAAAAAAGTACGGTATTTTTTTTTTTATTTAGTCGAGAATGAAAGCTACTGATGGTCGTAACACGCATGACACGGTGAAAATGCTTATTTTATATCCTATAAAATGATTATTTTGTTTATTTCCAAGTTTTCTAACGAATGGAACGCCGTTTTAAAAAGCGTATCGGAAGATGATATGCGGTTTGTTTACAACGTTGAAGACTAACAGAATATCGTGTTGGCGACGTTACAATGGGTAACGTGATCCGATGATTTTCGATGGGAGGAGATCGCTCGTGAGTCATTTCCAGTGTTGTACAATTGACAGTAAAGGGAGGCGAGAGTGCGAACAAAAACACACACACAACAAAATTGGGAGAGAAAACGTTAGAGGGTGAACATTTGGGAAGAAGATAGATAGATCTGAAAAGGCTGATATAGATAGATAGCTATTAGATAGAGAGATAGATACTGAACTGATTGTGATATATATATATATATATATATATATATATAGAGAGAGAGAGATTGATAGATAAATAAGAACAGTCTGAGATAGATAAACATAGATAGATAGACTATGGACAAACTGGAAAAGCAAGCTAGATAAGGATAGTCTGATATAAATAGATAGATAGATCTGAAAAGGCTGATATAGATAGACAGTTATTAGATAGATAGAGAGATAGATACTGAACTGAATGCGATATATATATATATATATATATATATATATATATATATATATAGAGAGAGAGAGAGAGAGAGAGAGCGAGAGAGCGAGAGAGATTGATAGATAGATAGATAGATAGGAAACAGTCTGGGATAGATAGATAGATAGATAGATAGATAGATAGATAGATAGAAAAAACTGAGATAAATAGATAGACAGACAGACCGAAATAGATAGATAGATCGACAGATACATAGATAGATAGTTAGATAGTGAACTTATTGCGATATATACATAGATAGATAGGAACAGACTGAGATAGACAGGTAGATAGAGAGAGAGATACATATATACTGAGAGAAATGGCTATATAAGAACAACCTGTGACAGAAAAACATAGATAGATAGCTAAGAAGATACTCATATATATATATATATATATATATATAGAGAGAGAGAGAGAGAGAGAGAGAGAGAGAGAGAGAGAGAGAAAGAGAGAGAGAAAAAGAGAGAGAGAGATGTAAAGGCTGCGAATTCACAAGAAATATATGTACACCTTAAATTCCAAAACAGAATTGTGTTAAGTTGTCAGCTCTGTCAATATGGCGAATTTATAGATTGTATAATACGATATTTTTATTTGACCTTGAGGAGTGTTATTGGTGATAGACATATATTGTGAACGCTAGAAAAAACAATTATAGAAAATAATTAAAGCCTTAGATAACATTTCGGCACTTTATTGACAAAATCCTCTTGACCTACATATGACAAGTTACATAATTTCATCGCATATCAATTAGTTCTAACATTATTAGTGTTATTATATGTAGAGAGAGAGAGAGAGAGAGAGAGAGAGAGAGAGAGAGAGAGGGGGGGGAGATGTTGCAATAGTCTATCGCCAGTTTAGTTTTGACAATAACGCAAAAGATCATATAGAATTAGTTTTCACTAATCAAATATCTGAAATGAATCGTTGGCAAACAAAGCTCGTATTCGGTACCTCTTCGCCAAGCCAACCTCTTTGTAGCTGTGTAGCATTGTTTCTCGTTGCTACATTCATGGAACTCAGCATAAACCAAACTAATGAAAAAAATACAGAAAGAAATTTCGGGAAGAATTGAAAGTGTTTGAAAGAAAGCAAAGCATGGAAATGTATCCGCCTGCCAAGTCCCACATATTTGCTTGAGAATCTGCTTGGAAACGCCTCCTTGTCTTTGAGCGTGTCTTCAGATATTCAGCGTCGTTAGAATGGTGAATGAACGAAGATTCTTATTTTCGGGAGAAGAAGATAAGATATGAGCTGAAGTTGAAAAAATAGAAGCGAACAAAATGAAGAAGAAGAAGAAGAAGAAGAAGAAGAAGAAGAAGAAGAAGAAATGGAAGAAAAGAAGAATTGAAAAAGAGAATAAAGTAGAAGGTGCAGGAGGAGAAGAAAAACAAGAAAGTGGATAAAATGAAGATGGAGAAAAAGAAACATTAGAAAAAGATGATGATGATGATGAGGGCTATCATCATCATCATTCTCAATGAACGAGAAGGTGAAGGTGAAGGAGCAAAATAAAAGTTTCAAAAAAGCGATAATTAAAGGAGTGAAAAAACAAAAGAAGAAGAAGAAGTGGAGGAAGAAGAAGGTAAAAAGAGAAGAAGAGGAAGAAGAAGAGGAAGAAGGAGAAGAAGAAGGAGAAGAAGAAGGTAAAAAGAGAAGAAGAAGAAAAAGAAGAAGAATAAGAAGAAGAAGAGGAAGATGGTAAAAAGAGGAGGAGAAGAAGAAGAAGAAGAAGAACAGGAAGACGGTAAAAGAGAAGAAGAATCGAATGAAGAAGGAGAAGTAGATAAAAAGAGAAGAAGAAGAAGTAGAAGGTAAAAAGAAAAGAAGAAGAAGAAAAGAAAAAGAAGAGGAAGACGATAAAAAGAGAATAAGGAGAGGAAGAAGAAGAGGAAGAAGAAGGTAAAGAGAGAAGAAGAAAAAGAAAGAGAAGGAAGAGGAAGAATGCGAAGAAGAAGGTAAAAAGAGAAGAAGAAGAAGAAGAAGTTAAAAAGAGAAGAAGAAGAAGAAGAAGAAGAAGAAGAAAAAGAGGAAGAAGGAGAAGAAGGTGAAGTATAAGGTAAAAAGAGAAGAGGAGGAGGAAGACGGTAAAAAGAGAAGAAGAAGAAGAAGAAGAGGAAGAAGAAGGTAAAAAGAGAAGAAGAAAAAAAGAAAGAAGAAGAAGAAGAAGAAGAAGAAGAAGGTAAAATGAGAAGAAGAAGAACAGAAAGGGAAAGAAGGAGAAGAAGAAAGTAAAAAGAGAAGGAGAAGAAGGAGATAAAAGAGAAGAAGAAGAAGACGAGGAAGGAGAAGAAGGTAAAGAGAGAAAAAGAAGAAGAAGATAAGGAAGAAGAAGAAGACAGTAAAAAGCGAAGAAGAAGAAGAGGAAGAAGAAATTAAATAGAGAAGAAGAAAAAGGCGAAGAAGAGGAAGAAGGAAAAGAAAAAGGTAAAAAGAGAAGAAGAAGAAGAAGAAAAAGAAGAAGAAGAAGAAGAAGAAGAAGAAGCAGAGGCAGAAGGAGAAAAAGATAAAAAGAGAAGAAGAAAAACAAGGAGGAGGTAAAAAGGAAGGAATAAAAAGAAAAAAGAAGAAGGTAAAAGGGGGGAATAAGAAGACAAAGAAAATGAAGGTAAAAATGAAGAAGTGTAAATACAAGGAAGAAGAACAAGGAGAAGAAGGAAGTGGGAGTAGCAAGGAAGGAGTGAAGAGGAAAAGAAGAAAAAGAAGGTAAAAAGGAAGGAATGAAAAATATGAAGACACAGAAATTAAATAAAAAGGAATCAAATACAAAAAATGTTAAAAAGGAAGGTGTGTAAATACAAGGAAGAAGAAGAAGAAGAAGTGGGAGGAGGAGGAGGAGGAGGAGGAGGAGATAACAAGGAAGGGGTGAAAAAATAAAGAAGAAAAAGATAAAAAGGATGGAATAAAAAGACAAAAGAGCTAAAAAGGAAGGAATCAAAAGAGAAGGAAAAAGAAGGTAAAATAACAATGAAGAAGCGGAAGAAGAAGAAGAAGGGGGAGGAGCTAAAAAGGAAAGAAGGAAAAGACAACTCAGGAGCCATTGTCTGTGATGTAAGAAATCTAATGTTCTCTCTTTCTCTCTCTCTCTCTCCACACACACACACACACAAATATATATATATATATATATATATATATATATATATAGAGAGAGAGAGAGAGAGAGAGAGAGAGAGAGAGAGAGAGTGAGGTAATAATGCATTGGTATATAATCCAAGTGAATCCTAGTAATATAAAATATTAAAACTGATCCACAAAAAGAGCTCAATGTATTTTTTATTACGGAGCATACAAATTACATAAAAAAGAAATCCAAGTTTGCCTCATTGGAATAGCTATTTCGATCAATAAGTCCTACGTTGGCATTTTCAACTAATAAGAAAAGAGAAGAAAAGAAATGAGTTAAAAATGCCAACATAAGACTTTTTGTTGAAATAGCTATTCCGATGAGGTAAATTTGAATTTCTGGTTTATGTAATATATATATATATATATATATATATATATATATATATATATATATATATATATATATATATGCACTAATTGAATTATTACTTTTAATTTAAAACAAAAAAATCAAAAGTAATAATATTTTAAAATCAAAAATAATAATTGTTCCTGATGAGTTGGTAGAACAAAAAACTTTAAGTTGCACTTCGAACGTAGGTATATGTATATTTATTAAATATACATATATATATATATATATATATATATATATATATATATATATATATAAAAAATATATGATATAGATCCGACAGTATGAAGAAAAATATATACGGAAAAAACAAACAAAAATCTTTATATACAATTATGCTGTCAACGTCGGACGTTTCGGTCTAATAAACCATCTTCAGGACATATTCATAAATTATAACATTATCAATGCAACATGACAAAGACGATGTACATAAGAACAAGACTTATCCAAACAAATAACTGAAAGTTTTATAAGATCAGCGCTCCGTTTAAAACATGTTCACGTTGTCGTCATGTGGGCGACGCTGTGAAAACGTATTCCTAAAATTTGAGTATTTTGAATGAAAAATGAAAAGAATTCTATTTTGATCTAAAACTTATATGTACGTTTGTCGAACATTGATCTCGCTAGAAAAGGGGAAATACTAAAGAAGCCAGGTCTAGTATTCACCGTGCGTGAGATAGATATTATGCCTGCTTCATAAATCCGCCGAAGATTTTTATTATGAAAATATTTTAAAATCTTCACGGAATCAAAATCGAAATTATGACTGTCACTTAAAATATGTGGGTGAGACATGTAGGTCCGTAAAATCTCGTGTTTTCGAACATAAACGAGATATTCGCCTCGGAAATTTAAACAATGCTATAGTTGTACACACAACTAAAGCAGATCATAATTTCGATTTTGATTCCGTGAAGATTTTAAAATATAATTTATAATATAGTTATAATTTATTACATTGGAATCGTAATTACGATCCTATATATATATATATATATATATATATATATATATATATATATATATATTGAAATCTTGTTGACCTGCTGCAACATCTCAGCTGATACTGGGAATTTCTCTGTTTTAACTCATCCAGAGTCGAGTTGTGTAAACACAGTATCCCAGCTGAGATGTTGCAGCAGTCAATGAGGAATCTCAACAGCAGATTTCAAGAATGCATTCGTACAGGAGGACGCCATCTACAGGACATAATTTTAAAAAAAAGGAAAATTCCATCATTGTTTCTTAAATGGCATATTTTAAGGTTTCAATTACTATGAATAAAATATTTTTCTTCCATCACTCTTGGTTTTATTGGATTGTTAAAAAGTTTCAATTTTTTGGGGTCACCCTGTATATAAATGTAAATATGAACAGACCGATCAAAGTAATTCTATAGATGAAAAATAACAATAATAATAAATATTACACAAATTTATTGGATATTTAAACCAAATAGAAATATGACGAGAAAAGTACACGCCTTTAGTATCATAATAATCGACTCTCCCGTCGAGATTCGACGTATGAGGGTCAAGCAGATCAGTTTCCAGGAACCCGACAGCGGCACATGAGATTTGATTATAGTGGTGAAGGCCTCGTGCAGGACCATCCACACTTTTTGAAGGGCCGAATACAGAGACCTGGTGCACCGAATGCCACAAGGTTCCCAAACGACCCTCCGCAGGTTTTGAATTCAGAGTTGTCCTTCTACTAGACCAGTTGCCATCCAAGGCTATAGAACCCAGTCTGTCCTGCTATTTTACCCATAGCTGGAGGGAGAGGAGGAGGATTCATACCTTTCCCAAGGGTATTAGCACGTAAGTGAATGTAATGGATTCGAGTGTAATTCGAACTCGGCTCTGCGATTCCTCAATCCAAGCCGCTATCCATTATCCACACTCTTGTCTTAAAGCTATGTCATCGCGAAAATGCCTTAACCTCGTATATATGTAAAACATTTCTGAGATAACTACAATAAATCTATAAAACGACAATATGAATAAAGGCAAAAGGAAAATTTAGACGACGCGTTTGGTCCTCTGACGAACGGAAGTTTATATATATATATATATATATATATATATATATATATATATATATATACATAAAATAGAAATTCAAATTTACATAATCAAACTAGTTCATATTTCCACTAAAAGGTCCTGTGTTGACATTTTCAACTCTTCTTTTTTTTCTGAGTTAAAAATGTCAACATAGGACTTGTTGGTGGAAATAGCTAGTTTAATTAGGTAAATTTAGATTTCTTCTTTATGTAATATATATATATATATATATATATATATATATATATATATATATATATACTTCTGAGTTGAAAAGTCAGCATAGTAACGTGTTGGTTGAAATAGCTATTCGAATGAGGTCAATTTGGATTTTTTTTTCTATGTAATTTATATGATCTATTATAATAAATACATTGAACTCTTTTTGAGGATTAGTTTTAATATTTTATATTATTAGGATTTACTCGGATTATATACCAACGGATTATTACCTATATATATATATATATATATATATATATATATATATATATATATATATCATTCTTATTATAAAACCCAGGTTGTGTGTGTGTGTCTGTACGTTTATATATTGGATCTGATTTCCTACATTTTTCAACCGATTTCAACAAAACTTCACAGGAATACGTAAAACTACCTTGCCGTGGTTCTGACAGCGCCAAAAATGGGAAAAGCACAATTGTTTTTGCACGAAATCAATTTGAAAACACGATTAAGAGGCAGGTAGTGTTTCTTATTGTCTTGCACACTTTTTTCTTTATTTTTACATTCAGCATGCTTTAAAAATTCCATTTACAAGACAATTGTTTATAATAAAATTCTATTCATTCGGTCGACTCATAACGATTGAAAACAATGTTTTTGTTTGAGTTTGGGTTTGACCAATTCGTTAA